TTGCTTAATAAAAATACCGAAACAAAATTTGTAGAGAATTAAATTATCTTTCAAATAAGATCAGCACAATTGTAATACGGTACATAGGTTTTGAGATAACCAGTTTCAAGCGTACAAAAAAAGTGTTCTTTTCGGTTATCAACGAGAAGGAGAGAGAGAGATAAAGCTTCTTAAAATATTCTTCATTTATGCTGTTATAATTATAGTCTACGCTGTAAAAAATTAATTAGAAAGTACTTACAAAGGCAGAACGGCATCTCTGAGCGTTATCTAGGAAGAGGAGAGTGTCGTGAGCGTGGAGTGTCAGGTAGCTCAGTGGTTTAGAGCAGTCGCCCGGCAAGCGAAAGACCCGGGTTTGAGTCCCGGCCTAGCAGGACGCGCTCTCGATATTTTTTTCTCTTTCTGGAACGAAAAAAATACGCAGATCTCGAACGCACGGCGTCCCGCCGCCACCTAGTATGCTCTCCTCCTTCTATGGCTGACACTACGCATCATAGTCTGCCGGTATACGGATACTGGTTTATATCTTCTTCTGCTTCATCATGTAGAATCTCATAAAGATACTCAGGAGCTGAAACAATGAACAATAAAAGAATAATGTTTAATTCAGCGAAGTATACAATGCGCTGCCAAATACTAAATACTAAATACGTCTGATTTGTCATCCATATATTTGTCATCCAGATATTAAGATTTTACAGTAAATATAAATTTGAACAAAAAATTTTCTATAAATATGGATCGAAAAATGCTTCCTTAAAAAAGTAACGTCCCAAAATCACGGTTTTTATACATTTTTGCAGATATATAGAGAAGTATGCGTTGTTTTCTTTCAAAAATATTAAAACAAAATTTGTAGAAAATTAAATTATCTTTCAAATAAAATCAATACAATTGTAATACGTTAGATAGGTTTTGAGATAACCAGTTTGAAATATAAAAAAAGTTTTTTTCGGATAGAGCTTTTTAAAATACTCTTTATTTATGCCATCATAGTTATAGTTTACGCTGTAAAAAATTAATTAAAAAGTACTTACTGTAATAAGGTCTCACAGCAAAATGCCTCACTCGTTTATCGTGTCTGCGTTTGTTACACATTGGATAAATTTTTTGGTTTTAATTGAATTTAATATTTCACTGTTATTCATATTACTTATATTAAGATATTGATCATTTCCTTAGATTGAGTGAAAAAAATTTTCAAGTCTTCTTTAAATTCACAACACAATAGCAAATATTTATCGTCGGAATATATTCCGTCTTCTCTTCCCTCTATGTTTAAAATAAACACCTCGAATGGATGTAGCGGCTTCAAGCGAATAATATTCGGATTTCTGTTTTTTTCCCAGGGATGATATTCCAAACCGGAATGTATGTTTGCAGGAATTTCTTCGGCACGATCCATGTTAGTTTGGAGATAATGGTCTACGATATAAAGCTTAACAGTGAAGATTGTTTAATTAACATAATTATTGAATTCAACATGAAAATAGGGATTTCAGTATGAGAGAGAAAACATTGATCATGTGGTATCAATTCATTTTAAGGTAAGAGATATATAATATATAGTCGGTAAACGTATATATAGAATACAGTTTCAGCATTGAAAGCTGCGCAACGACACATATCGATCCGACAATTGTCGATAAGAATTTATCTTGAAGCCGTTGTCTTCTTTTAATGTTTATGAAGAAAATCTTAATGTATAGCAAACTTTTCAAGTCATGCTAATTTCCGTAAAGCTGGATGTCTTTAATAGTATTTCATTAATGCTAAAGTGCGCAATTCGTATTCGAATCTTTTCGATTCGAAATTTTCTAATTATTCGGATTCGAATCATAGGGATTTGATTCGAATTCGAATAGTTCGCACATCTCCAGTCAAACTAAATAAAAAAATCCTCTACCATTTTCCAAATGACCACGTACACGTTTACTTACTAATTAAAGAAGTTTATGTACTGCGAGGAGTATTCCTCCACTTACCGCAAAATACCACCCTCCCACGCTCCGCTCGCGGAACTCAAGATGTTGGACGCCAGATGCGAAGCAGACCACACCACTTTACCGAATAATCGTTACTCAATGCTAATTCCAACGCAAAAGATGGCCGAACGAGTCGATACAAGTCTGGTAGGTCATCTCTTTGTTCCGAGATTGTTATTGTTGTCCCGTAGCCAGTATTCTACAAAAAATCGAAAGACGAATATAAGGTCGGCGGCATCCAAATTCGGAACGACACGGCATTCATTACTGTCACTAACATTTGAATAATGAGGACTCACTCTGGTTCTCTGTGGGGTTTCCCAGAGAGAAAGCTCTTGTCCCACGCTGTGCTTCCATGTTTCCTCACTCTCGACCTCCTGTTGTCAGTTTCGGGAGCCGCGAGGACACAGGTATTCGGGACGCGCGAATCGCTAATCTAACGCGAAAATCCGAATGTTTCCGATAGCTACGCCGATGGTACGACACATAAACACTATCGGAAACCGCTATCGAAAATGTAAATATTCGCACGAATTTCTCGCGGCTTAGCCCGAGCGATCACTAAGAAATCAATCTAATTTCTTGATTCGACAGCTTAATCCTCTTGTGACGTGCAGCTGCACCACTGCCACGTCACAATACAGTTGTATGCGATAATGCACCAATCTTTTTCAACTAATAACTAAACATCTACGTGTCATTTAGAAAATGAAAGAAAACTTTTTTGTTCAGTTTGATCTAATATACAAGCATACAACGGCAAACCTCGCCATCGCAGCTCATCTATCTTATCACATTTGATCATTCGCGAATCTTCTTGGATTAAAATTTTACGTAGTTGTTTGAAAAATGACGTGTACAATTTTTGTTCACTTTTATGTGTTCTACTTATATTTTTCTTTTGGTCCGTCTTACACGGGACACCCTGTATAAAGCCTTATACTTCCTAAACAAAAGTACCATGAGTTTATAAGGACATGAGTTTAAATGCCTATAATTGCTGGAAAATAATAATTTATATTCCAGCTATATAACATTTCAGCAATATATATAACAGCTATATAACATTTTAGTAACACGTTATATTTCTATTATATAACGGCAACTTCGTATGAATGGGGAATTATAACTAATGTGTATATTACATGTAACAAACATGTTATATTGCACGTTACATCCCGTTATATTACAACGATGTAATATAACTGTTATATTATTGTGTTTGCTGGGAAGATTATATATTTTAGGATGGAAATCGTCGAGTCGCAGTAATGATCTTACTTGCATGTGAGATACGCTTTGTAGTCGAACACGTCCGTAGGAGAAAATCGCAGGGTGAATTTTGCCGATTCACCCGGCAGCAGGATTCCCTTTTCGGGGTAAATCCCAAACGGCAAATCGTCACTCTCTAACCAACTGTCGCTACTTCGCTCTGTCAATCCGGCACTACTGCTGAAGAGATCGGATGGATCGTGGGCGCTAGCAGGTAGTTTTATCTTGACGATATCTTCTGCAGAAATAACGACATCCGTTGTCGTGATTCACGTGTAAGACGAAAGCTTTTCACATACAATAAAACGAATATTAAAACGAAATGAGCTCTATTAACTTTGACGGTAACACCAAGCGCCTCCAAGACGTACTGGTGTAAATTTCTAATTTACTTTCAAGAACTCTTTTCTCTGTATTTTAACTTGGAGTAGAATTTCCGAACGCAGTATATAAGAAACAATAATGACATTATAATGTTGATTAATGCGTCGATTTGAGAAAGATATTATAGAAATGAGCTTTTAAAGAATTCTTTAATATGATGTCATATTAATGAACTCTTTAAAAGCTCTTGAATGTGAGTTTTTCAAGATAATCTGAAAAATAACATTGTTCTTTCTTTAAAGTGTGATTGTAACGCGTAGAATGAGTAAAGGACATAACAAGAAAGACAGCCATGACGGAAATAATTTATTGAAAATATAATGTAGATGCGTGAAAATCACGTTAAAAGTGAAAAGCAAGAAAATACACAATAATTACATAGCAGAATACCACTTGTATCCAAACTCGGTCTTTTATTATACTTTTGTTATGTTTTTGTTATGTTTTATAATATTTTCGTAAATATTCTTTTATTTCATGATTGAATCGAGTTCTTTTATTTCATGATCGAATATACGCTCAAAGAAAAGAACTCTATTTGCTATTTCTTGTAATCCCATTTTCTGTGCAAAACCTTTTACCAAACATATTTCTATTCTAATGAAAGAGAAAGTGTGAACAATTAATCGAAAATTTATGAAATATTATTTCAACCCTTTTTTTAATCAAAAGGAATATGTTTGCTTGAAGCAGAATGTCCTTTTACGTGCGATACGACAGACGCGACTAACAAGATTTATTTTATATAATGTATATGATAATAATATCTGTGTCTGTATGTTCTCTATTAACTCTTAAACCCTTTGACTGATCTGAGCCATGTTTTGCGTAGTTACTGTCTAGAACTTTGCAAGAAATATAAGCTACCATGAAATCTGGACATCCTACTTCTTCCCTCTAATTTCATCTTCTTGACATTTTGTGATAACCTGGACAGTTTAAGGGTAGTTTAACCCTTTCGTCCTGAGTAGTATACATATTCAAGGATGAAAAGGTTAAGCTACTCTCTTAAAGTGAATCAGTGAATAGTCACTGATATCAGTTATAAGTATAGCACTGAGCAGTTTCAGTGCTGTACTTATAGCTGAAAATCAGTGTTTATTTACTGCTTTCAATGATGTTTCACTGATTCACTTTAAGAGAGTAGTTGTAGATAAAAAGCGAAATTTCTCTAACTTTAACAATATTGCAGTTAGAATACTTTCCTTTTGCTTTTAGAAGCATCCTTTTGAGATCACGTATATATGTATAAGAATAAAGTCCTCTGGGACTCAAAGGATCCCGCACTGAGGATGAAATTATACCTTTCTAGATTCCACATTTTTTAATTACCTCGAGATGACGTCAGACATCGTCGATTTAATTTAGCGCCTTTATCGTTTAGCTCCGCCGCGTGATATTGATCAGGTCGCTGGCGAGACTCATGAGTGTGTACCAACGAGTTAGTCGCAGATCGCATATCTCCCTGTGGTCCCAGCGTGAGTCGCGAATAATTTGCGGTTCGTCTCATCGGGTACTGCTCGTCCATATTTATCTGCCACATGTACTCCACGTCGACCGCACCAGTATTCGAGAAGGTGAACACGTATTCGCGCGTCTATCAATTAATAACATGTCAAAGGTAATTATATCGAATTATACCAAATAATTGCCGATTTCATGCTGCACTTTGTACAAATTTTAAAATCTGCTAACAGACTCTTGTTTGTTTCTTTATTTGCCATCCTTTTCGCAATATGTCGGAAAGGAAGAGAGGAGCATCACACATGGTGCGCGCCTGGAGAGGAAACGAAGGCAAAACGGAGACTGAGTTTTACTCTCCCATGAGGGAAATTCATGTATTACGCCAACCTCAACCGAAAATTGTTAGAATGCTGCACACGCGTCAGCTGTAATGTTTCTTTTGGTTTTCACGTGTAAACAACGGCCGGGATTGCATCGGATATAAAACCAACAACGACAGTCTGTATTTTATCGCTTGTGTCCCGTGACGGTTATGACGCGATGCTCGCGTACGCATCGATTCAAAAAATCTCCCCATTATTATGAACAAATATTTAAACTCGATATACACGAGCAATCGTGAAGTTATTTATATAATTCCTATTTTGCTCTCCCGACGCGGCCGGGCACGCGCTACAATCACAGCGAGAAATCCTGCGACCGATGGTCGAATCGCGTCACGCAACACAGGAGAGAAAATTGACAAACAGAAAAAAATGCAAAGTTCGGTGTATTCAAAATATCAATGTTTTTCTAAATGCGGTAAGAGAACAAAGAATTAAAAATACGAAATATAATTAGCAGAAATATCCTTTCTTCACGTTAATTTGATACTAGAATGCTCGACTCTCCCTCTTTCGCTACATGAAACTAAGTCTGTTTTACACAATTATGTAAAAAAAAATAATGTGGCTCATGTGTGTGGACAGAGTCCTCTAAATAAATCGTGTAGTGAACGTATTAAAACGTAGTAAACGTGTTTTCGCAATGCACTGACAATTAAATAAAGAGTCGAAGTAACTCTATTAGACATTCAAGTTATTATCATAAACATGTTAAAACTCTAAATTTTAATAAGAAATAAGAAGATTATAATTTTAAAAATTCGATCAAAAGGATAATTATTATTAATTAGCGTCAAAATGATAAAGTCTAAATTATTCTTATGGAAAGTCGAGTGACTAAGATAAAACATCCAATCCACCAAGCCAATAATTGTTCCGATCTTGTGTTGAATAGGATGAAAAG